GGTCATCAGACTCTCCTTCATTCTTTCCAAGCAGACTCTGCTAGTGATTCTCCAGGGAGTTTCCGGAAGCCTTCGGTCCTGGACTGGTCCCTGTTGTTCTGAGGCTTCAGCATCATGGACTGTGCAGCTACTGGTTCTTCCAGCTCTCCAGCCTGCAGACAGCCATTGTGGACCACCCAGCTTCTGGTTGTGTAAGCCAATCTAATAAATCCCTTTTTTTATAATCATACCTCCTGTTAGTTCTATTCCTCTAGAGAAAACTGACTAAGACAGGAGATTTTCATACATAGCTAGTGGGAACCATCAAATCCAAACAATATGTATTCCTTGGATTTAGGGTCATGGTTACAGAGCTGGGGCCTTCCAAGAAACTGAGGCAGCATGAAGACCCCCTCTTCAAACCCCGATTCTTGAGATCAAGTCAGAAAGATTTCCAACACGTTGTCCAGAATAACAGGAATGAGTTTACTAAAGGGATGGGAGAAGGGAAAGAGAACATTCGCAAGGGAGAAAGTGGGTCCTCTCAGAGAGACACAACATGCCTCTCCTGCACTCCAGTTTTATTGGAGATCCCAGAGAATTTCCAGAGAATCCCACCCAGATCCACCTCTTGAGTTTTGGCTCTCAGCAGGGTGATATCAGACTTTCAAGTCCCCACAGTCATGGCAACTCTAAGTCATCTTGGCTCATGCTGACCAGTTCCAATTGGATTCTTAACCATACTATTTTTTTACAGTTTTTGTGGTTAGGAGAAACTGTCCTCATTTCCCAGAGTTTCAGGATCTGGTCACAAAACTCTCCTGGATTGCTCCCCACTGTATTTCTTTTGCAGTTAACAGGTAGTTTCCTGAGAAATGTGACCCTGTCCACTAAGGCCAGGCAGGGCTGCAGGTAAATTTCTTCCTGGAAAAGAAAGCATGTGGGGGGTCTGCACAGTGGGCCCATTTTATAGAGTTATTCTTTTATCCTCAGGTTCCTATCATTCACATCTGTCCGTCCCCTCACATCATCTCTAGAACGGGGGTCTTAAAAATTGTGAGAAATGCACAAAGATTTTTGTTCAAAATATATTCACAAGTTGTTGATTATAATAGCACAAAGTTGAAAACTAGCCAGATATGTTTGTCAAAAAAAACTGGAAGAAGTGATGATAATTAATTTTATTTATTGAGAAATCTATAAATGCCAGATACTGACTGGAAAGTTATGAACATATCACTTCAGTGAGGGAGATACTGTCATCATCACCATCTAACACAAAAAGCAGTTGGGAGATTAACTGAGAGATTAAGTAACTTGTCCAAGGTTGAATATTAAGGAAGCAGATGAGTCAGGAATTGAACAGAGGTATCTTTCTCAGGAGTCCATGTTCTCCTCACTAACTGATTTGCTTAGAGACACTACAGTCCATAGGTCCACTGTGTTATTACATTGCACGGTAGCACATTTGGAATGCTGTAGTTCAATCATAAATAAGTATGAAATTATGTGGGAACATGTTTACATGGAAATAGTAAGAGATAAAACAGCCAAACTATATACTGTACCATTTTCAGTTCAGGAGTGTGAGCGTGCATGTGTGTGTGTGTGTGTGTGTGTGTATGTATACAATCAAAATTTAAATTTCTCCATGTGAGGGGTTATAGATGATTTTTGTTTTTTCTTTTATGCTTTTTTAAACATTCTGAACTTTTGTTAATGAGACAGAACTGCTATGATTGTCAGAAAATATACTAAAAAATACTTAGGTTGCTGGAAAAAAAAAATCAATACCAAAATTTCCAAGAACAGGATTTATCCCTCTCAACAGATAGTGAATTGGGAAGTATAAGTGGCAAATATCCACAAGAAAAACCACTGTCTGCAGGAGTTAGGAATAGATGAAGGAAGGATATTCAACACCTGAAAGCATTGACCGCATGTCTGAGCTAGATTAGCTTTACACACTGAATTCTACCTTTGATTTTTGCCAGCTAGACACAGGCAGTTTTCTGACCATCATTAGGATTCACTGTAGATTGAAATAGAGTTAATTGAAGACCTGATGTTTTTAGAAGAAAAAACAGGAAAAGCTATGGACCCCAAAATCTACAATCTCTGGATTGGGGTGTTTCAGTGTACCGAAGAAAAGCTGTGAAAAGAGCCTTCTTTGTGACAATAACCCAAAAGGCATCCCAGGCAGGGTCTATCAGCAGCAGCAGATGAGCCTGAAAGAGGCCCACCTTGTATGGCTGGGCCCAGCCACCCTGCACATGCCAATCTTGTTATTCACAATGGGAGCCTGGGACTCAAGATAATGCTATTTGGCCCCACATTCAGTACAAAGAATGCCTTTTCCTGCTCTTCTGGGAAATTTGAGGCAGAACTGCAGAACCTGACCCTTAACACGTCTTTGGCATTCCCCTGAATACCGAATAGATTAGGGATTATTATTATTTTTTTTTTAATGAAACTAACTTGAGTTCTCTGGAAACCCTTATTTGGCACACACATCTGGCTGTTTCACAGAAATTTCAACTTTGCAAAAAACGCTGGAATTGATTTCTCGTCACAGGAAAGCTGTTAGTTGTTGTTGATCAACAGAAGTCTTAGCACAGACAGGAGCAGAGAAGTTTCCTGTTGAGACTTATTCAAAGAAAACCCCAAAGGAGAACTCAGAGAACTCATTTGGGGATGAAGCTGCCAGTGCAAAAGGGTACTATTTACACACATCTACTAATCAACAGATGCAAGAGGATTTTTCTCCGGACTCCTGTGGCTCTTGGGATGGGGATCTGGCTCCAAGGAGTGCAGCTGCCACTCCTGCTGCTGCTCTGTGGTCTGCAGACACACACCGGGAGTGCTGAGGTATGGAGCTATTGAGGAGGTGACCTCTCTAAGGTCAGTGTTCCAATAGGACATTCACCTGGAGGCAAACTCTAAATGACCTAAACCTTGGGCACTTGGGATCTAATTTCATACAGACATTTTTAGCAAATGATGATAGTGAAGACTATTGAAAATAATTGTTAAAAAATAAAAATTCCTTATAGTTGATAAGTTGGGCATTATCGAAGCTAGTAGTATCATGGAGTTATTTCTTAATTCTCCACCATAATTAAAATACTGCTTCCATAGGACAAATAATGCAAAACCAACCAAATCTTTATGGGTTTAAACTGTATCCTACAGACCAACTTATTTATAAGTGTTCTAACTTGAAGATCTATATGTTGAAAATAACCTCATGTTAAAAGATGACAGAGTACATATTTGAAATCTACTTTTGAAATTTATCAGATCTGACAGAACATGATACTATTGGTTTGGCTTGGCTTGGCTTGGCTTGGCTTGGCTTAAATAAATTCTGTAAATTTATTTGGAAATCTGCTCTAAAGAGTTATTGGTTAAAATCATTTAACCAGTCTGAAAATTGTGTTCTAGTTTATACAACTAGAACATAAATCACATAGCAAAGGTACCAAATGATGTTTTTGAGTTCCAGTCCCAACAGCCTTGACATCAGATAGAGTCTTCCAACAAGTAGTATTTATTAGAAAAGCATCATGGCTTTGCAAAGAAAGAAGCATCTATTTACATTTTGATAATTCATACAGGACCCTAAATTATAAACTAATGATATTTAATGAACCTCCATTCAAATCTCTAACTTCAGTTTGCACACACTAGATATCAATAAGTTCAATTGGCTACCCATTAAAAAAGAAAGCCTTTTCCCACTCCTGGAGTGGGAAATAGGAGAGACAAACTACTTCACTGTCAACATTAGGAAGAATAACTGGGAACACACAGCTGGGCTCTGCTCCCTTCCTCCTATTGAGAATGAGTTAGTCTGATAACAAAGGGCATGAGTTCTGACCTCATCAACAACAAGAATCTTACCTGGGAGGCCTCGGTCCACTACTGCCTGTAACTGAGTGGGCAAGCCTGAATCCTTCTTGAATTTACTCTTCAGAAGAAGCCCACTTGCCATCACACCTACAGGTGTGTGCTTCCACATGGACTTAATCAGTGAAAAGAAAGATAATTTGACCTTGATTATTTTTACCTCATTTTATTTTATTTTATTTCAGAATCCGGGTAATAACAGGGTTGTTATTACTGCACTGTCCCATAAAGAAATCAACATCACTCATCACTTAAGACTTTTATTCAATAAAATTCAAAGATTTAATATAGGTTTAGGCATTCATACTGTTATGAATGCCTAAACCTATAGATGTTCCTTATAACATGCATTAAAGAATACAAAGGGTGAGGAGAGGAGAGGAAACAGAAAGTATAATGAAACGATAAGGTTGAATAATTTTTCTTCCAAGTATTCAGCATGCAAAAACACTATCGTTTCAGTTCTACAAAAAAGGTTTATTTCCTCCCAGCGAATTTTTTCACCTTTCAATAATATTTATGAAACTAAATTCAATTGTTGGCACAGATCCCTGGTATAGAAATGATGTAGGGATCATTACACTGGATGCAGTATAATGATATTGAATAAAATTTATTTCAGCAAATATTGGTTTTGAGAAGATTTGGCTTTATAAAGTATAGTAAACCTGATTTGAATAATTAAAATCAAGTTTTGGTTTTTTTTTACATTTATAGGTTGCAGCTGAAATTGCCTTTGATTTGGCACCAGATTCCTTTGATGATCAGTACCAAGGCTGTAGCGAACAGGTCTTGAAGGAGCTAAGTCAAGGAGATTATTTCAGAAAGGAACTAGATGCCCATAAGAATTACTCCAAGGTGTGGCACAAAGCCCACTTAACCTGGCTGAACCAAGCAAAAGATCTCCCCAAGGACATGACAACAACACATGCTGTGGCTCTCCTGGTTTACACAACGAATAACAATATGCGCTCTGACTTTTCTAATGCCATGGCCACTGCTGCCAGGTCTCCTCAGCAGTACAGACATTCATTCCATTTCAAATACCTACACTACTACCTGACCTCAGCAATCCAGCTGCTGAGGAAAGAGATCCTTGAGAAGAATGGTACCTTGTGTTATGAGGTGCATCATAGCATGAAGGAGGTCAACTTCAAAGCCCCCGTAGGTGCCACCCTTCGATTTGGCCAATTCATTTTCACCCCCTTCCTGAAAGAAGAGACACAGAAGTTTGGGAATCAAACGCTGTTTACCATATTTACCTGCATGGGTGTACCTGTACAAGACTTCTCCCTCAAGAAGGAAGTCCTAATCCCTCCGTATGAATTTTTTGAAGTGGTAAATACCAGCTACCATCCAAAAGGAAATTGGTTGCAATTGCGGTCTGCTGGAAACCTGAGCACATATAACTGCCAGCTGCTTAAAGGTAATCTTGTTTGAAATTGAACCCACTCTTGTTAGAATCCTAGAACACTTTTTTAAGATAAAAGTTATCTTAAACGTAAGCTTGATGGGGAGCTCAAAACATGGAAATTGGTCTTCAGTAATGGTGGAACTGACTGATTAGAGAAAGGCTGCTTTGTAGCTGGTACCCCCAACCCTGACCTCCCCACCTCTTTTCTCTTCAACTACCTCTAAAAAAAAAAAAAAGAAGAAGAATTCATGCAATACCACTATATTAAGTACCTCAGGGACATATTCCAAGAGCCCCAGTGGATTCCTGAAAACCAAAGATAGTACCAAAGCTTCTCTACTATGCTCTTCTCTATATAACATACCAATGATAAAATTCAACTTATAAATTAGGCACAGTAAGAGATTAACAACAATAACTAATAAGAGAATAGGAAGATCATAATAATATATAATAAAATTTGTGCACATATGCTTGTTCTCTCTCTCTGAGAGAGATATTTCAAAATATCTTGTTGAACTGTACTCACCCTTCTTGTGATGATGCTAGATGATACAGTGCCTATGTGATAAGATGAAGTGAGGTAAATGATGTGGTCACCCATTAGTCACTAATTACTGTGGAAATGCTGGACAGAGGGATGATTCACATCCTATCAGGATTAGAGTAAGATAGTACAAGGTTTCACCACACTCTTCAGAAGGGAACACAATTCAAAACTTAAAAAATTTTATCTCTGGAATTTTCCACATAAAATTTTCTGACCATGGTTGACTGAGAAAAAAAAAATCACATAAAGCAAAACACACACACACACACACACACACACACACATAAGGGGAAATTACTTAAATATGTGGAAAATTCTTGACAGTAAAACTTGACTGGGAAAGTTAGCATATAAATTATAGCATTTTTATCTTCTCAAGTTTTTGTGTTTTTATTTGTTTTGGTTTTGTCATGGTCATTATAAGGATAAAATGTTCTAAATCTAGGGCAGGAAGTAAAATTTACTCACTGATACTCCCTATACAACATTCTCTATTGTGAGCGGAGACCCTGACAAAACAGAATGGATAAAGCAACATAATCAGCCTGAGAGGATTTTTAGTTTGAGAAAATGAAACATGAACAAAATTATACACTTGGAAATACTACGTGATGCACAAGATGTTGAGCAAAGGATTGTGGCTGTTCCACACCAGGAGGTCTCTGGGGAAACTGAGGAAGGTTTCTCAACAGAGGACCACATGGGACTCACAGTGGAAATGGTGGTTTTTAATGAAAGAAAAGAAATATCATTTCAAGTAGAGAACAGCATATGCCAAATCCCAGGGATTTCAGACAGCCCAGTGTCTTTAGGGAATTTCTGAAATTCCAGGTGGCTAGGGTGTAGGATGTGTAGGATAGAGGAGGCAGGCAGGAAAAAGGGAAAGGGGGTTTACTAGGCAGGAGAGTTCTGACTGGGCCTGATTGTACAGGGCCTTGTAATCAATGCCACAGACTCTTAAAACATCACGCTTTAGGTAATAAGAAGTCACTAGAAGTTAAAGAAGTGGAACATCAATAGATCAATATTTCAGGAAGATCTGTGATGATATTATAAAAAATGACCCAAAGCAAGAGAAATTAGAACTATTACAATATAAAAAAAAAAAAGTTAAGTGTTAGAGTCTGTAAACAAGTCAGGATGGCGCCTGGCATTTTGCCAGAGGGAGTGGTTTGTGAAGTAACACCAGCGAGCCATTAAGTGTGGAGATTCCTTATTAGTTGACTGCTGTATCTAGTTTATGCTAATTAAGATAAGCTGTGTGTAATGTGTATATACCCCTCCTGTCCTACAATAAAGGGCTCCCACTCCTGCTATATCAATGTACACAAGTTGCTCGTCAACCCCCGGTTATTTTGCTGCAGCCAGACTGAGGCAGTTAAGTTCTTGTAGAAAAATGTGGCTGAATTCATTCACACTCATAATTAATGGCAACCCAACTGCAGAATCTGCCTTTGAAATATTCTCTCAAATCTCTCTCAACTCCATCATTATTGTTACTGTTTATAATTTCAGCTCAGCATTTCTCAACAACTTAAGGCCATAGTGTTGCAAAGTCTTTAGAAAGGCATCCACACCGAGGTCTAGAGCCTGCTCACTCTGGCTTATCTCTATCTATAAACACAGACCAGGGAGAGACAAACTGCCAATACTTTTATCTCCTCTCTTCTCTCCTTGGCAGCATCAGCAATACCAATGAAATGAGTATCTACCCCACAAACCCAAGAGACTAGGGCTTGTAGAGGATGAAAACTTACAGGAGAATGTGAAGAAAACAGTGAGACCTTGATAATAAATGAGAACATTCATGATAATAAATGAGAACATTCATAGTCAGTTTTGATGATTCCTTGGAACTGTACCATGTAGAAAACCACTACATTTTTTTCTTATTGTGAATTTGGTACATATAATTTTTCTACTAGGATAATGAGCACAGCAATATATTCATTTGAAAAAAATCATAGAATATTGATGTGGGCAGTGGGAAACTGAGGGAGAGGGGATATATAACAGAAATTATAACTCTTGTACTACCATTGTATACATATCAAAGAAAAATATTTCAGAACCACTACCTCAACACCCACCCCAAAAATAATGATCTTTGTTTTTCTGTGGTGAAACTACCCATGCTTAGCTGGGATAGCCATATATATTACTAGATTATTTCTTGAGTAGATATTTGAAATCAAAAAAACTCACTTTAGGGAATCAGAAATCTTATATTATTCCACAAACTCTGTATGGGCAGGATATTAACTACATAGATATTTAAGAGCTAGGCATGGAATCCAGGCAGTTTGATCCCAAATCCACCATGTCTGAATATACCACTATACTACTTAATAACTCTGTATTTTTCTCAAGGTGCTTAAACTTTAAGTTTTTTTCATCTACATAATGAGCATTATCATAGAACTTTTGTGAAAACAAAATAAAATAAAACGCTAAACTATTTAAAATGCATTTCCTAGCACATAATGAATAGTAAATTAGTGTTAGCTATTAACTTTATTCCTCCAGCACAGAGAGGTTATCAGCCTATTTTTATTGAATAAATGAATAAATAATGATGAATGAATGAATTGTTCTCTTTCATGTCTCTGAGCAAACTGGGTCTTATGTGAAATGGCCATATAACTCAATTGATTAAAAACAATTCCAATATTTGAAGACATAAAGAAGAAAAATATCAGAGAGTGAGGAACTTATAGTCAGTGTGAATGATCTGTAATGTGATCATTTAGAAAGTAAGCAACCATAAATAAATTTTCCTAGAAATTCATTAGTTAGAAACTTGTACAATCTTGGGAAGAGAACTTGTAAATGGCAGAATAAAAGTATCCCTGGCACCAGGGCATGGTGGCTCATGCCTAGAATCCCAGTAACTCAGGAGATTGAGACAGTAGGAGCTTAAGTTCAAGGCCAGCCTAGACA